ATCCCCTCCCAACTCCCCATTCGTCTCTGCGCGCCAAATTAGATAATCGCGGTTCAGCCGCCGACTTACGGGCCTTATAAACAATTGAGGAAACAAACGAGGGCGGATCTCGAGACGAAAGCAGCGGCGGGTGGCGCCGCGCGAGAGGGAGGGGGGGCGTGGAGGGAGGGGGATGAAATGTGTGGCCCGTTTGCGGCTGATCTGAGGAGTTAGCGTTTATCAACTGTAATGGCTGGCTTTATTCGCCCTTCTCCAGCCGTTCTGTCGCCCGAGTGAGGCCCAGAGTCTGCTGCTGCTGTTACTGCTGCCTGTAGGAGGGAATCAGCTGCTAAACCACGCCCTCCTGTGCGCGCCGCGCGGCCCCGGTGCATCCTGGTGCGGCCTTGTGTCGCGTGGCGGGGCGGGGCGGGGCGTGGCGGGGCGTGGAAGTTAATTCCAAAGTGGGGCCATGCGATGTGCTGCACGCCCCGCCCCAGCAGACGGGGGCCCGGGACCGGAGGAGTTAGCGTGCCGTTCGTCTCATTAACGCGGGAAATTTTAAAAATAACTTTTTTATGCTTTTGGCTGTGCGCGCGCGCGCGCGCTCGCTCGCTCGGGGGAGGCTATAGCATGTTGTGCCGGCAGACAACGAGGGCGGCATTCTGCCTCGCATTCTGCTCACGCCACGGCGAGGTGAGGCTCTCCTCCTCCTTGCAGCGGAGCAGGACGCGCGGACGTACCCCGCGCGCGGACGCGCCTTGCTCCTGGGGCCGCGCGGGGTAGCGACGCGCGCGAAAAGAAAGCCTAAACACGTAACGTTATAGGTACTTGAGGTACTTCCGGGTATACTTCTTTTTATGTCCGAATTGTGGTTGGATATCTGCTGATTGAGACCAACAGCCACTCCCCATCATAACAGAGCTACTACTATGAGATTAAAATTTTGCGAATTCCAGAGCTTCCAGGAATATCTTTCCATCCATCTACCGGCCTATGTTAAGGCGGCCTTCTCTCCGCGCCCTCCGCCTAGTCACGACGGGTTCAGGGGGAAGGCAGCATCTGCTCGCCGGGTCGGGGGAGAAAAGGGTAGCTGAGGGGGCGAGCGGGGGGGTGGAGGAAGGGGCTGTTCCGCTCTCGCCCCCTTCCCGTCCTCCTCCCTCCACGGGCCCGGGATGGCGTGATTCGCAACAATAATTATGAGAAGCCGCCACGCCCCGCCACTCCCCGCCCCGCCGCCGCCGCGCCACGCTACGCCACCCCGCTGGCTCGCATTGGCCGACTCCACCCAGTAACGCCCTCGCCGAGACATTTGCACAGGTTTGCACTGCCAATCCTCTCCGCCTGTAATGTATACTACCGCCGATGCACATCGTCGTGTGGGCGTCAGCAGAACCGTCTCGAACCTCGCCGGGGAGGGGACGCGTGCCTCCAGCCGGCGTGCTGTCCGTTTTCTGGGTCGGCCCACCTCACACTGCCCCGCCCCGCTCCGCCCCGCTCCGCCCCGCTCCGCCCCGCTCCGCCCCGCCGCGCCCCGCCTCGCCGGCCGGAAGCCGCCTGTATAATGACTCCCAACGCACCTCGCGCGCCGTATTTTTCCTCCGCCTTAAACCGTTGCGTGGAATGCCGGAGTGGTGGGATCGGGATGGAGCAGAGGCGGGATGGATTTTTTTAGGGAGTGGGAGGAAGGGGTTGCGCGGGGTGGGCCCGGGGCCCGGGGGGTCGTGAGGGGGGATGGGCGGGCGGCAGAGGGAGTTTGAGCGCGGGCAGGGCGTCCTCGCGTGACTCACCCACATTCAGCGTCAGCCGTCATCAAATTTCTGCTCCGCCTTCCCCGACCCCACCCCCGCCACGCCCCCGCCACGCCCGGGGTCCGAGCGTGAGCGTGCGTCAGGCGTGCGCCGCCGGCGTGGGGCCCCCGGGGTCGGCCCGAGGGGGGCCCCCGGCTGGGCACATCGGTATGGGATTGTGCCATCAGACATGTGAGCCCGGCCCGGGGGTCGAGGAAGTGGTCCCCTCCGTGATCTAGACCAAGCGGATCAAGGTCGAGCGGGGGAGGGGAGGTTGTTCCTATGCACGGAGGAAACGCGCAGTGATCATTGAAAGATTCGCTTGAATTGTGTAGGCGCCAACTTAACTCGTTTAATGGGCATAATCGTACATTTTAGTCCCCCGCTTCCCGTCCCCTCATTTCCTCTTTTTTGACAGGATACATTCATGAAATTTAGCTAAGAGTCTTCTCCAAACGTAGTTGGTGGGCGGCGGCTGGCTGCGCCACGATGCCTCCGACGCTGGACTGCAAACAACTAGTGTTTCATGACCTAAACAAAGCATCTTACTCTACAGTTTTCTTACTCGATTTTTATTGTTGTACGTTTCTTGTTCGTCTGAAAATGAAAGGTTGGAGTCGCCTTCACGCCCGCAAAGCGCAAGGTATGCATTCCGTAGTAAACAAAGGCACTAACAATACTAACCGGCACTTACACGCCCCTCAAGATTCTGCACAGAATAACAATAAAGTAGCATAGGAACATCCAAAGGCTGTTATATTATATCTAACTGTCTTAATGCATGGAATAATTCTAAACGACATGAAAATGTGTTTTGATGTACCGGGTGTTGCATAAAAGACACAGGTGCGGGCGGGTTTGCCTACCCTAGGGGCTATGGCGCCTCACGGGCAGAGCGGGGAGGCAAACCCGCCCGCACCTGTGTCTTTTATGCAACACCCGGTACAGTTTACGTGTTGTTATGCCAGCATAATTTAATGACGTACTATACAGCCCTGTTATAAAAAAATAAGGCTTGCATAAATTCAGTATCTTTCCGCACAGCAATACCATGAACTTAGTGTACTGTTGAAATTAAATACCGTAACGAGTATTCTCTTCTTTTTTTCAGTTAACGGACAAATTCTACCATCTCCTCAGCACGATGGCAGTCAAGTGCGACGTTTGCTGCAAAACCTTGGAGTCAGGAAGCGCCCTTACTACCCACATGAAGACACACACGGAAGAAACGCAGTTTGACTGCACTGTGTGCTACAAAACGTTTTGTAGCTCTCATTCCCTTCGTTCACACCTTCAAACTCATACCGGAGAAAGGCCATTTGAGTGCGCTGTTTGCCTCAAAACGTACCCTAATCAAGGTGGTCTAAAAACGCACCTAAAAACTCACTCAGAAGAAAGGCAATATGAGTGCACCTTTTGCGAGATGAAGTTCTACTTATCCAGTCATCTTCGATCACACCTGGCAACTCACACCGGGGAAAGGCCATTTGAATGCCAAGTCTGCCCCAAAACGTTTATCAATTCATCGTTGCTAAGAGTTCACATGCGGACTCACACAGGAGAAAAGTCGTACAAATGCACCCTGTGTTCCAAGGCGTTCTCTGATCCAAGTGGTCTAAAACTCCATTTGCGATCCCACACGGGAGAGAAGCCATATGGGTGTACTATATGTCAGAAAAGGTTTTCTGTATCTACTAGCCTTCACGTACACTTGCGAACTCATACGGGAGAGAAACCGTTCGAGTGTACCGTGTGTCAGAAAAAGTTCTCCCTTTCAGGTAGTCTGCGCTTGCACCTTCGAACTCACACAGGGGAGAAGCCATTCGAATGCAAGGTGTGCTTCAAGCAGTTTGCGGATCCTGGCCATATGAAATACCACTTACGAACTCACACTGGAGAAAAGCCACATAAGTGCACGCTGTGTCCGAAAACCTTTTCTTCTACTTGTAGTCTTCGGAACCACATCTATTCCCACACTGGAGAAAGGCCATATGAGTGCAGTCTGTGTGACAAGAAGTTTCGTTCATCTGAAGTTCTACGAATACATCTTCGAATCCACTCGGAGGACAAACCATCATTCGAGTGTAATCTTTGTAGAAAATCATACCCTTCAGCTCCCTCGCTCAGGTCCCACTTAGAAACACACATTGGAGTCAAGTCTTACGATTGTACCGTTTGCAATAAAACGTTCTTACGATCATCCTCTCTGCGAGTGCATCTGCTTATTCACACAGGAGAAAAACGATTTGAGTGCACCGTATGCAAAAATGCATTCGGTCGACCTCGCCAACTTCAGGAGCATATGCGAATGCACACAGGTGAGAAGCCATACGAGTGCACTGTCTGCCCCAACAAATTCTCGAAAGCTGAGCATCTTCGGAACCATCTGCGTACCCACACTGGCGAACAGCCATTCCAGTGCAATGTGTGCGACAGGAAGTTTTCAGTTCGTTGCAATCTCAAGACTCATCTTCGCACCCATACAGGAGAAAAACCATTTAAATGTACTGTATGTCAAAAGTCATTCAGTGGATCTGGTGATTTGAAGAAACACTTGCGAATGCACACAGGTGAAAAGCCATATGAGTGCAAACTATGCGACAAAAAGTTCACTTTCTCTTCTAGTTTGAATAAACATGTACGAAACCACACGGGAGAGAGACCATTTCAATGTTCCGTTTGTCAAAAGTCATTTAATTCATCGAGTGATCTGAAAAGTCATTTGCAAATCCACTCACATGAAAAGTTATTTAAATGTTCCGTTTGCGGAAAGACTTTCTCCCGATCTGATGGGCTTTACAAACATCTTCAAACGCACATAGAACAAGAGTCCTAAGCATACCTCTCAAATTTACTTGTTTGGCGAAGTGCCATTCGACGAACTCACCAGAATAGTAATTCAACTGCTAAAAAAGGGGCGACAATGTTGCATGCCAGTTGAAATAATAGTTATTTTTGTGCTGTATACTGGCATCTTAATGACAAATATCAGGTCATTTAAGTTGTGGGCTACGTGAATTATTTCACTTTAATTTCCTATGCTTTTCATACATGTGTTTAAAGATTCTGGGCTGAAAAAGAATCAAATTCTGTAATATCTGGGTACCACAAAAGTTTGACTTCCCACAAGTGCACTGTACTGGGTGTAACTGAGAATGCGCAACAGTGTTGCGGGTTTGCCTACCCCGTTAGCCCGTAAGGCGCCATGGCCCCTGCAGCCCTGGCGGGTATGCAATCCCGCAACACTGTTGCGCATTCTCAGTTACACCCGGTACAAACAGAGGTGCAGTAACTCCTTCCAAAGGCGCTACTGCAGTAGTGCCTTTTTAAAGGCTCTGAAATTGCCGAAAATAGCATCGTTGGAAGCCAGTATAGCGCATTTGTTAAAGCACCATTTCACTAACGCACCTTTAAAAAGGCATTGGATGGCACCTTTGTTATTCCAGTGTATCATTTATGTATTTATGTGTACTCTGTCAATTCAAATGTGTCTGTATATTGTACACTTTAATGAAGTGTATGGCATGTATGCTCTAATTAACATTTGTACCTGCCCATGTACACTGCAAATACTGCACATTCCGGGTGGCTGATTCACGCCATTGGAGCTGGTCTCCTGCGCCAGGTTGCATAGTACAGAAGCGCGCGGCGTGAATCAGGCACCTGGTACAACCGTTAGTATACCGGGTGTTTCACAAAAGACACAGGTGTGGGCGGGTTTGCTATGGTGCCTTACGGGAAGAACGGGTAGGCAAACCCGCTCGCACCTCTGTCTTTTATGAAACACCCGGTACAAGTCATGTCCACAAAGATGTGTACATGGGCATGTACACCTTATTTAAAGCATGCATGCCATGAACACTTTATTTAAAGTCTACAATGTACACATTTGGATTGACAGAGAATTTTAGTCATTTTATTTATGTAGACGTATCATTTATTTATTTATTTATCTTTCTCCTCACAGCACGTTTGAGTGGCTAGTATTATGTATTGATTGTGTTATCAAATTAAGACCTCTACGCCTACTGTTTACGCCGTTTGTAAATAACAGACTGAATAAATCTGCAAATAAAAGCATGTGTATTCTTAGTAAGTGAATTTTGTAGTTATTTCTCGTGGCTGTGTGCGCGCTCGCAGAGCCGCTGGCTGGCCCCAGTAGCCGGCCGGTCCAGACCGCCGCTGTATTAATCTCGTAAAGAAAATGGCTGCCCCATAAAACACTTCGGTGGGAAACAAACGGCATTCGAAAATGAAACCCGGCCAAGCGCGCAAGGACCATGCACCCCCGCGTGGGAGGACGCGGCGGAGGAAAGGGGTAAAAGAAAAAAAAAAGAGGGGGGAGGACTACGAGCCGCTCTAGCAACCCCCTCAAGCCGTCTCATAGGAATGAATGAAGATACGCAAATGACTGCCGCGAAGGAAAATCCCTCTTTGTCATCTTCTGTGTATTTTTGAGGCACCCCGGCGCGCGCTGCCGCGCGGGAGCTTCTTGTAATTAGACTCCAGGAAGAGAAGAAGGGGTCGGAGAAAGGGGAATGAAGCCGAAAGGGGGGGGCCTGAAGGAGGGGGGGGGTGTTTTTGCAACCTTTCTCTTTTTTCTTCAGAGCCCCTGCTGCTTCTGCGATGGAATTGGAATCAGAGGCGCTTCATCGCGGTAGGAGGAAGTGAGTCGACTTGGACAGGTTGCGCCTACACCATCCGCGGCGCCACGGAGCCCCCCCCCCCCCCCTTCCCCACATTTTCCTCCCTCAGCGGGTTCATTACGATAGGAGTCATTCATAGTCAAGCCCGACATTATACGCGGTGCACGAGATGCAGCGGAATGAAAACAAGGAAACAAACAGGGCCAAAAAAAGAGAGGAAATCACTCGGTGGTAGAATAATGCAGTTTTGGGCGTCGCAACTTTAGGGATAAATAACGTCTAGGCGGCCGAAGTTGTTTGGTGGGCGGCCATACATGAATGAGCCGCCCGTAACATTTGTCATCCTCGCTCCGACCCACATCCGTACAAATAAATACTTTGCTCACCGGATGCCTTTAATCGACGAGCCGATAAGCCCCGCGTTATCAGCCAGCCGCGGACACGTTTGACGTGGACCTCACAGTTTACGGTTCGGCGCGGAGTATTCCTGACCGTCTCCGTCTGTTGCAGAACGATGCCCTGGCGGCCGGCCCAGGTCAGCCCGGCCCACCGACGTCCATGGCGTCCTCGGCCGTCATCTGCATCGTCAACGTAGGTGAGTGGCGCTCGGCGATACTCTTGACCGCGCGGCCGCCGCTCCAGCAGCAGACGGCTGCAGAATACGAGTGCATCGATACCCCCGCGCGCCCTGGGACCAGGAGATGCCGAGGCGGGCGCAGAATGCACATACTGGCCTCAGTGCTGAGCCAAGCAGCGGGCAAGGCGGGGCGGGTGTTGGGGGGCGCCAGGACGGGGGATGATTTGAACGATGAGAAAGTCTTGGGAGTCAGCGCTTTTATCTTCGCATATGAATATTCGCCCCCCCCCCTTTTCCCTTCCTCTGCAGCGCCGTGTGGTGTGTGGTCGCCGGTCTGGCTCTCTGGCCTCTTCGCGGCCACCGACCGCCGCCCTCTGAAACTGAATGCAAAGCACTGCGGCGCTACATGCTGTGAACGGTTCGACAGACAAGTCGGCTCGGGTATGCTGAATGCTAAAAGGAATGTAGAATTATGTCCAAAAAAGAAAAAAAGCGATTTGTTTAACGAAAACAGTTTTGTTAGTCTGAAACTAATGAAAAATAATTCATGGTGGGCAGCCTATTGTAAAGGTAACTGTTAGGTAACCTGAACGATTTTTTAACATTCGTTTCAACTGAACTCTGGCCAAAAGACAAGGTTTAGCGTTGTGAAAATGCGATTTTTTCTTTAACGATTTTTTCTAACGAGAAAAGTTACAAATGCAATGCTTGATACAAAAATTCATATTTGAAACATTTATGTAAAAAAAAAAGAGTAATGCGTGCTACGTAAAATCATGCTCTTATCGGTATAAGTAAAATAAATTTTCCATTGTGGTAGAGTTGTTTTGCAGAAATTCTCAAAGTAAGTGGTTGTTTTGACTAGTCAGAGTAAAGATAATACTCTCTAAGATGCGACCCACCTCTAGCGCACATCTTCCCGCTACGCCCTCCATTTGTGTTCAGACTGTCCAATTCAGCAAATCGCGTCGCTCTCTGCCTTTTCATTGAGGAGAGCGGCCCATTTGGGGGCGGCGCTGGGGGAGAACAGAGGAAGCAGAAAGCGGCCGCCTCCACCAACGGGGGCGGGCCGGGAGGCGGCGGCGGGAAGCGGCCGGAGGACGAACGGCCGCGAAAATTTGAATGGACCTTTTTGTTCTTTGCAATTTTCTGTCTGTTATTTATGTTTGAAGAACCGTGTCACGTAGTAGACAATAGCACCACTTGTCCTTCCGCCCCGCGCCGCCCCGCCCTGCTCCCCTCCGTCACGGCCGACAGTCCGTCGTCCCGCCGCCGCCTTCTCCTTTTGTCTATCGGCTCCCTCTCTCACTCTCCCACCCTCACTCACACCCCTGCAAATTCCCCCTCACTCTCTCCCGCTCTTCCCCCCCCCCCTACTCCCTCGTTGCTTCCTATAGAGCTCTGTCAACACGCACCTCAAATGATAAAATCAAAGTCGGGAAAATGTTTTCCTTTTTCGAGCACTCGCCTTGTGTGTTCGGAGCGGCGAAGGTGAAGAGGGCTTGAAGGAAATCAATGAAAACCGCATGCGCTCGTGCTTTGGTATCGGCCCGTAACGCCGGCCGCGGTTGGACACAAAAGGTTTAGTGTGGATCACGGCCCATAGCTGGGTCCAGCCGAAGCTTCTCATTTCGAACCGATTGTTCTTTCGCCTTTCCCCTACCTTGGCCGAGCTGGTCTGCGCCATGTCGGACAGGACATCGACGTGCTCCTCGCACAGTCCCGCTGCCCCTCGCAAGCCAGGGGGAGCAGGACAGACTAAAAAATAAGACAGAGAAAGGGGGGGGGGGGGGGGGGCGAGAGAAATGACGAGGATGCAGACGGTGGTGTCCAACAAATGTCCACTTTACGTCCACCGGAAGGGCAGCCGCCTGGGGCCCGCCACGCCCGCCACGCCGCCATCCCCGTCGGGATTTCACTTTCCGCATCGGTTTGGCCCGCTTGCATCGCTTACTGCCGAAGAGACGAGAGAGAGAGAGAGAGAGAGAGAGAGAGAGAGAGAGAGAGAGAGAGAGAGAGAGCATCAGTAGAAGGGGGAGGAAGACGGATCGTGTTGGCGAAATGAAAGGAGCGACGCTCGGCGGGATCAGGGCCTGTGTGTTGTGCCGGCCGATGCATCGGCTGCAGCGGTCGACAATAAAAATCGGCCCGTCAGCCGGAAACTCAAACGATATATATGTAATGCGTTTGGGAAGGGAGGGAAAGGGGTGGCCAGAGTGGACAGTATGGACAGTTGGGGAAAGGGGAAGGGGTGCCGCCTGGTGTTTGCCTGCTGTGGACCGTTACCGTAAGGGAGCCCCCTGTGATCCTGATGTGGACTGTCCTCGTAAGGAATCTTCCTGAAAGTAGGTCCGTCAATCGCCTTGAGGGATATACAATAAGTTCAGCCTCTTCAAGCTCTCATAGAGCGCCTGATAGGTACGCAACATCTTGCCTGTAGTGCATGCGCGTACTGCGGGATGGCCTACCTTGAGTCTCACAGGCGCCGAGATCCCATAATATGTTTGCCGAATGAATCAGTGAATAACGGACGTAACGTTCTGGACGATCCCTAAGGATGCGCGCCGATGTGGACCTGCTATGGACTTCTTTCGTAAGGAGGCTGTGGGCTGCCTGCCTGGTTGGTGGGCCTGCTGTGGACCGTCCTCGCATGGGTGCCGCGCGCGCGGAGCGGACCCTGGCCTGGCATGAGTAGGGCCGCGGACTGCATCGCCCCAGTAGTACAGCATCAACAACAAAGCAGGCAAATAATGTCCGCTCCCGGCTCCCGGGCGGACTCGCGCGGGGTGCAGTTAATCTCCCACTCGCGGCCTGGGGCGGTGTCCGCGGTGTTGGCACCGGCTGGCACCGGGACCCGTTGTGCAGGACGCGCACTCGCCCCCGCGCCCCGCGAGCGCTGCTCGGCGCTGCTGCTCCTCGGCGAATGGCGGCGCAAAGCCCCCTTTTTAACGTCGTCGGGAATTGTTTTCCTCCAAGCAGGCCAGCCGCGCCATGACTCTCTCTCTCTTCCTCTCTCCCTCTCTCTCTGTCTCTGTGTCAGTTTTCCTCTTTCCCTTTTGCACTGCTTCGCCCCTCCAAACACCCCCTCTTTTTGTGAAGGGGTGTGACGAAGACGAAACATTTACGCGGGCGGCCGCACGTCTAGGGTGTAATTAACTCGAATGCTGTCTCGTCTCCCTCGCCCCCCCCCCCTCCCCTTTCCCTCCCCATCACCTTTCTCGGCAGGTTTTATCACCCTGAGCAGCACCTTCTTGCCGCTTTGGGATTCATGGCGTCCGCCACGACGGAGTGCATGGCGTGGAGTAGCGCGCGACGCTGGAGCCCATCGGCCGCTGGGCCGAGAGGAGGAGGGG